CCACCACCACCACCCCGATCTCCGGTGCCCCGCGCGCTGCTCCACCGGCCCAGGTCGCCAAGCCCCGCGCCCCACCGGCGCACACGCGCGCGCGCGCGTCCCGTCTACCTAGGCCTCGTCGTCTTCGTCGGTCGTCTACCGCCGGCGGGACCCGGATGCACGATCCGAGTCCCCAACCCCACCACACACACACTCACACCTCCCCTCAAAACACAGTCACCCAGGAGAAAAGAGAAGAGAGAGGAGCACGGACGAGCCGGGCCGTGGAGACGCCGCGCACGCACGCACGCACGCACGCGCACTCCGGCTGGACTCTCGGTTTCCCGCGCTCTGCCCGAACCCGGTCTCCCCCCCCCCACTCCACCCCACCCCACTCCGGGGAGGGGGTGCGCGCGGGCCCGACGGCCTCGGGGTGTGGGGGTTCAGAAGTCGCCCCTGGTGATGGAAAGGTGTCCAACCCGGGGAACACACCCCCCACTCTCCCCGCCGCAGACCCCGCCACCATCATCATCATCATCACCATCATCACCAGCACCCCATCATCCCGGACCTCGAAAGCCCATTGCTCCCCCTCTCTTCCCCCCAAAAAAACAAAAAGGGGGCCTTGGAGTTCTCTGCGCTGTGGACATCTCCAGACTCTGGCGACTGGAGTCTTGCTAAAGGGGAAAAAAGGAGAAAGAGAGAAATCGGTGAGACTTTTTAAAAGATACTACTAAAAATGTATATCTATTTCTAAGGAGGAAAAAAAATATTCACCGGGGAGGGGGAAGAAAAAGGAAAAAGAAAGAAACTGGTAAGGTTTTTGGTTTTGGGGTACCCCCCACACCTTTGGCTTGGCCTGGCGGTGATTGTGGTGTTCGTTCCATGGAGAAAGAAGCTTTTTTTTTTTCTTTTCTTTTCGCATCGTGTTCGTTCCTCAGTTTCTCTTCTGAGATAGAAAATGCAGTAGAATTTCTCCCACCACCACCACCTCCCACCAGGCTCCCCCCAAAAATCAGGCCTTCCGAGAGAGCTGTGTTGGGGAGGTGAGACCAGGAGAGCTGTGCAGAAGGAGGTCTGGTGTGGTTTTCTTGGGTTGGTTTTTTGGTTTTGGGGGGGGGTTGTTTGTCTGTCGATCGAACCCAGGGGAAGTTGATTCTCTCCTTCTCTGAAAAATAAAATAAAATAACATTAGAAGTAAAAGGAAGATTTTCCTTCCTCCATCTCCTCCGATGCCAGCCCCCATGCCTGGCCGGCTCACCAAAAACAAAAAACAAAACAGGGCAGGAAAAATCCTCCTCGATTTTCTTTTTCTTTTCTTTTCCCAAGGTCTTCTTTTCCCTCCCCTGCACCCAGGGAAGAAGAAATGTGAAACTTCGTGTCTCCCTGTCCAGCCCAGACAAGCTTTTCTGTGTTTGTGTGTGTGTGTGTGTGGCAGGGAGCTCACGGTCCTGAAAAGCCTTTGACCTGGTTGTTGTCCTGTATGTGTGTTTTGTTTTAAGGGACCAAATTTTCTAGACAGCACTTTTGTCTTAACTTGTGCGTGAGTGCACGCGCGCGTGTATGCCTTGTCGATTCCTGAATAAATTTTCGATGGTTTTTCTTTTGACACGGGGACTTAGCATTATTTCCCTTGCGCCCTACTTCAGCAGCTACATAAAAGCAAAAACGTTCTTCTCTCTCTCTCTCTCTCTCTCTCTCTCTCTCTCTCTCTCTCTCTCTCTCTCGGTCTCTTTCTCCCTCCCCTCCTCACCCTCTGCAGGAATGAGAGACTCTTAAAGGTGGCTGGCTTTTGCAGTTGGTGCTTTGTTTTCTTAGACTGTTTTCGGTGTTAATGCTCGTGGTGTGGAAGCTGTTTGACCTCAGCAGCCTTTTTGTCTGCTGTCGTTGGATAGCTAAGGGTGTCTATTCCTCCCTGCCACCCCCCTCCCCGCACCCATTTAGAGTCTGCCTCCTCCTAGGCATAAGGGCTGTATTATTATTATTATTATTATTATTATTATTATTATTGCTTACATACTTTTAAGGGTTTTGTTTCGTTTCGTTTCACCCTAGTATCACAGCTTTGAGGGCATTATTCTCGGTGCAAGCTCCTAGTTTCTTGGAGGAATGACCCATTGCTTGATTCTTGTTCTTCTTTTTTAATCGTCAGAAGTCATCCATGTTGAGGGTTTCAGAGGAGAACCGCATGAGACTATGGGACTCCAGAAATCAAATCCTGGGTCTTTCTCTTCCGGGACTGCGATCGATCTTCAAATAACAAATTAAGAACCAGGCTTCACTGTCTGCACATAAAGTATTTGACTCATTTGTAGCCTAAATTTCCCTCTGCCGCCGGGGGTGGGGGGTACAGATGAATGCCTGCCTTCATGTTTTTTTTTTTTAATTTTTGGATAGGATGACAGGTATGGTCTATCACGTTGTCCCTGGAACATAACAGCAATCAGATCCTCTGTTCTACCACCTTCCTCCTCCTCCTCCTCCTCCTCCTCCTCCTCCTCCTCGGCCTGGTCTCTGTAGCAAAGGTGGTTAACCTGAGCTGGAAACAGGGGTAACCCACAAGGATTTAAACTGTCAGATTAGCCCACCGAGGTTCAGGCTGTGGGAGTATCAGGTTGATTCGCTGCCCCAGGACTCTGTCTTCGTTCTGGCCACCGTAGAGACTTACAGGTAGTGTTTGATTGCCTGGCTGAAACGGGGACTGAAGCCTTCTGGGTAGAAGGCTTGGATTACCAGACTAGGAACCGAGGTTCTGTTGGGGCTGACAGTTTAAGAAGCTGGTGTGGCCTGCTGTGAGGGTGTTTCAGGGACCCCCTGCTGTTCCAGAGTCTGGGTAACACCGGGAGTTAAGAGAGAGCCATGCTGGGTGGTGTGAGCTGGCCGGCTGGCTCCTGCTTTCTGTGGTTGTGTATAGCCTGTGCCCCACTGCAAATGCATGCGTGCATTCATGCCCTGACCAGGTGACAGGCTAGGGGTGTGTGTGTGTGAGAGAGAGAGAGAGAGAGAGAGAGAGAGAGAGAGAGAGAGAGAGAGAGATTCACCTGCACAGAAGGCACCTACTGGGGGGGGATTGTAAACACCACATGGGTGACATGTAGGGGTGTCTCCTAGACCACGGTGAAGTCACACCTCCACCTCGTGGTGTGCGAACAGTCCTATATATATTCCCACCTTGCGGGTTCAAAACACAACTTGTCCTTCACCGGCCAGAGGCTCCCTGTTGCCGCCATTCCGGGGCTGTCTGTCTGTCTGTCTGTCTGTCTGTCTGTCCGTACTACCCCTACAGCTGTCATGCCTAATGAAAGAGGCCGGTCAGGACAGCCTCGGAGCCTAAGCCTCTCTCTGGTGGGCAGGTGGTTGCCCTCCTCCTGCAAATGGGGAAATGGGCTAAGCCGGACTCTGAGCCAAGGCAGGAAAGCTCCCCACCAAGTTAGGGGGTGAACTGAAGGGATCGCTGGGGTGAAGTGTTCGAAGGGATCGAGGAGGGAGCAGAGCCTAACAGCACTTTCAGAAAGCTCTGAATCTTGGCCCTTTCTTCCCCTCCACTGCGGTTTGAAGCGAGAGCAGACTTTCTTCACGTCTCCCGCCTGCCCGTCTTTCCTCTCCCTCGATGCGCTTCAATCGAAGAAGCTGAGTTAGACATTTTCCTCCGTGAGAACAAAAGTTAGTTAAAGAGAGTTCCTGACCTGCTAGTGTTCATACTTTAACAGATACAGTCCACCTTTGGATGGCCAGCAGGCCGTGTGTGTGTGTGTGTGTGTGTGTGTGTGTGTGTGTGTGTGTGAGTGATTGTATACGTAAATACATGGTGAATAGAATTCGGTACAAATGCTGATTTCTGAAGTCCTGGGTAATGAGTGGCTATACAAGAGTTGAAAGATGTATGTGTGTATGCGTGCGTGCATGTGTGTACAAATATCTTCTCCGTAACCACTGGTGCATTGAGCCCCTTGTGGGGGGATTTTTTGGTGGTGTGTGTGCCAATCCTGGGCACTGTTCCTGAGGGTTTTTTGGGGGGGGGTTGTTGTTGTTTGGTTTTTTTTGCTCAAAGCTAGCGCTCTACCCCTTGTAACCACAATTCCTCCACCTCCAGCTTTTTGATC